AATTGTCTGAAGCTTACTTGGTTCAAAGGTACATAGTGTCAAAATACATCATTTCTATGAGGCAGATTAGAAAAATTGGACAAAAAGTGGTCCTCAATTCGGAAGCACTTACATCTTACCCTTTTATTTTAAAATCAAATATTAGGTAAATTTTCTCAAACCCAAAATTATAAGTATTACATGCATCTGGGGAAAGTTTAGTATCCAGAGAGCAGTACCTCTAATTGGCAATATAACAGTTTATATAATTCCCAATTTTTTAAAACAATACACTATCTAATAAAGTCGTATTAAAATATTAGTTCCGGCATCACTTCCAAGTTAATTTCTCGATTCAAGTATGATTATCAAAAAAATAATCATTTAATTTTTATTGACATATTTTTGTAAAAAAAATAGTATAAAATCTAAACAAAACTCTTCCTTCTAAATATGTATGAACGTACGTACTGTACTTTTCATAATAATAATAAAATTAAAGTTCATTGTACTGATTTAAACTCAGGCTGACTGTATGTCTTTCCCATCATCACCGCAAAATAAAAACATAAAATACCTAATTTTTTTACCTATAGCTTTGTGCAAAATGTAAAACTCCACCTTGAATGGCAACAAAGCTGAAAGCAGAAACCCACCAATGATTGTAGAGCTAAAGTCTGAACTACACTTTACACGTAGTTCATTGGCCAACAGTGTGTGGTCACAGTCAGTCAGCCCTCTCTGTCTAACCCATTGTATTTGAATTTAAGTGGTTGGATTGTTACTGTTGATGATGACGATGATGTAAATGTCTAGTCCACATTTACAAAATGTGGAAATCAGCAAACAGTAACTGCTATAATTTTATACAATAACTTTATGAAAAAAATTTAATTGTTTGTGTTTAAATGTATTTTTAAAATATGTTATTTACCATAGGACAGTAACATAATTGAAGCCATGCACGATATGGGGATAGATGATGATGATGGGGTATACAAAATAGCAAAGGCAGTGTTTAACAAGGTTTATTACAAAAATGTGATTATGTTCATGAGTTGCCAGAGACAGTATATAAATCTGTGGCAAGAAGGAAGAACTTAATTTGGGATACTAGATTACTAACATCTATTCAGTTGTAAAGTTATTTATATTTTAATTATTGTTAATGTGGTGTCATCCTGCACAAATTAATTTAAAAAATATATATATATCAAAATTTGCAACAATTTGAACAGCACGGCTAACATTCGGAATATACCAAAAATTACTAAAATTAGTAAATAAATAAATAAAATAATATTTTTTGGAATAGAATAATACCCATTTAATCTTTTTCATCCTCAAAGAAAGAAAAATTTTACAGTTTGAGCAATATTTAAAATCTTGTGTTGAGCATCAAAAAAGATGCTGTGTGCAAGAAACTTTTACTGGTCAGCATAGGCGTTTATCATTGTTCATTATGCTGTGACTGATATATTTTCTGATAAAATATATTCTCTACTACTCGAACAATCGGTTTGATATAATAAATGCCAATATTAATCGACATTTCCTGACATACTGCAAAAATATTCCGGCCTTCCTCAATAAAGGCTTTCGAAATCGCATCGGTTAATTGCCATTTTTTGAGTTTTATTTCAAATATTTATTTATTTTAAGAAATATTTATTGTTTTCTACTAATTCTAGAAATTTTTGGTATATTCGGACCTTTATTTTCTATAATAAGTACAAATTGTTGCCAATCTTGATAGATTTTACAGATTTTTTTTTTTTAATTTGTATCTGTAAATTATTTTATTGGTGCTTAGTTTACTTAATTTAAGAAATTTAAAAAGTTTTCTTAAAAATATTTTGAAAAAGAAGCAGTAATAGTACGTTTACATTTAACCAGATTTCGTTAACCCAGTGGGTTTCAATTGTCAATTCCTTTGCATATATGTCAAATAAATCCTCATAAAGTAGGTTAACCCGGTAAAAAGTTATAATGTATATGCCGTTTAAAGTAAAAAAAATACACAATGTTTTAATTATGTGACCAAAAATTTCAAAAAATCGAATCATAGGCTGACAATTTTTAATTGCGTGACCACCACTGTATATTCATTCTTATGTTATTAATTTATATTTGAATTTCACTCATTGTATGTTTTAAATTGATTTTTAATATTCTTGTCATTCTTATGCATACGAATTGTCTAAATTATTGTAAGGTTTAATTGTATTACATTATATGCTCTTAATTCATTTCATAATTTCATATGTACTCACATAGAGGCGTTACATGTACATAAGGGGGTGCCGACACTAGAGGTCGTAATTGTCGCGCTGATCACTATGAGGACATCTATAGTTCATGTTCTTGTTATTTCTTTTTCTTTCATCACACGTCATTCGTAAACATTGCATGTTCTTTCTCCCCCATACGTTTTTCATTCATTTTGAATTCAATTTTGAATGTAAACAACTAAAGTGCAACACGTCTCTCAAATAAAATTAGCTAAATAGTGGAAGAGAAAGTTAAAAGTTTGCAAATTTATTTAATGCTTGTTTTTACTTGTTCTAAATTGTTTATAAATAATTGATGAGTGCGCGAATATCGGTTAAAAGTGAAAAAAGACTGAAATATTTCCGTTCAGTGGAAAGGCCTGGAATAAAAGACGACGCCTTTCTATGTGGCGCCACATAGGAAGCTTTTTTGTGTATATACGAGGAAATTATTTGCGAATAGGAAAGTATTTGTGAATTTGTTGAGGTGGTAAGTAGTTGAGTAAATTATATACATTTAAATAAATATATTTCAAATTATCACTCCACCCCCTTTGAACTCAATGTGTGTTATTACAATGACAGGTTTTTTGGAGGGAAAGCTATGCTTTTCGGCATGGTACAATTATAAAAGGTAACAGCAAATCCCAGCTGATTTGATTCCAACGTAAAACTAGTGTCAATATGAATTTGACAAATTATGTTTTTATAAATCACCCAACAGGAAAATTGGGAACGCATTCAATTCGAATTTGTTCTTTATTAAATGTCCTCCCGTATTCAATTTACTCAAACTGCCTGCTGGGAAAGTTTGAGGAAGCAAATCTTTCTTCAAGGAACAACTTGCTATTCCCAGCATTTTCATATGTGTTACACATATATATGGCAATGGCTCAATTATATGAAAGATGTGGAAGAGATAGAAATATACATTTTATAGATTTTCATTCATGTTTTTCAATTTTTATTTTGAGGATTCAAAAATATTTCATTTTCAAAATAAAAATAATTTGATTATAATTTGTTTGTTTACATTTTTCTGTCAAATGAGTTGACACTAATAGAACTTACAACAAATTTCCACGTGGTTGTTGTTTCGTTTTTTGTACAACAACTTTTGCTGTTACTTTCTATTATTATACCATGGCTTTCCGGATACTATCAGCTTCAACAATAATACATCTTTATATTCAGAATGCATTCGAAATGAAATACGGAACGTGCAAGTTTAGGATGCCTGATCGCAGATCGTTTTGATTTTTTTCCACATAGGTATATATACTTTTGATTGCAACTACGGCAATATGGGATTGTATTCTGATTGGATCACCCAGATTGAAATCCATTATCCATTATCCGAAATCCATTATCATTTTAATGGTAACTTCATTTTGTCTCTCTCATAGACTCTATTTGCAAAAAAAACTCTACTAGTCAATTTTCACAATCCTCCCTACATACCAATTTTTTATCATTTAAGAACTTTTGCAATGCAAGAAGATGATGATCACTTGGTGCTAAGTCCGGACTGTATGGCGGATGCATTAAAACTTCCCAACCCAGCTCCCGAAGTTTCTGGTGAGTCTCTGTAGATGTGTGTGGCCTAGCTTTGTCCTGGTGGAATACGACACCTCTCCTGTTGGTCACTTCTGTTCGTTTTTGGTCAATTGCTATATTCAAACGGTCCAGTTGTTTACAGTAGAACTCGTAATAAATAATCCCCCTCCATGGTTAGGCAACCGTTTGAGGTGCTTCACCGCTTTTCGCAAAAATTTCTCATCACCAGTCACCATCCGTTTAAGAAATGGGTCCATCTCATTCCGTTTGACCTAAGCTTCGCAGATGGAAATTTTACCCATTCTATTTTTCTATGTTAATTGGTGTGGCACCCAAACATCGAACATCTTTTTGAATCTAGCTTTGTTTAAAACAGTTTTATCGTCGATTTTTAGCTCCTGGTCGATGTTAACATGCCGTTCAACTTCGATCATTTCTCCGATTTTATCGTCATTTTCGACGACCGGGCTAATCTGATCTTTAATCTTTATATCTGTTTTCTAAGAAGAAATTCTTTTAATCTCTTTATTGCATTTTAAACTGCAACCGCGGTTACAGATGAGGTGGAAACAGTCTCACACCATCCCTGTAACGACCGTGCACAAATATAATGTATATTTCAATCTAAAAGTTTGTTCTTCAAATAAAACAAAATTATGATTATGTTTAATATTTATTATAAATATATATTTATTGTATAAATAATATACTTTAATTGATTACAAATCTTTCTATTTATGGTAAATTAAAAAAAAAACACACACTTTCTTTTGATATTCATGTTTATGTCTTTGAAATTGTTTAAAACAAGTTAAGGCTAATACAGTTTACTATGGGGGCTTTGTTTTTTTATTAAATTGTTCTTACATTTCGATTTCAAAAAAATTAAATAATGAGGAAATTTCGAAAAATCTATTATCGAATTAAAATAGAATCATAAAAACAAATACACAATAGTTTATGTATTTATACCGAACTTCGTTTGCCTTAAATACTAACAAATAAAATAATAAAAATAAATATTAAAAATATTTGAAATTTTAGAATATATAAAGTTAGGGAGCGTAATATTTTGAAAAGAATAAGAATAATAACATACATAAATTAAGTGTAATTTGATCATAAATTATAACATACGTAAAACGAAGAGTGGTGGTGGTCTACACAATAAAAGACACGAATTTGGTTAGAACAATTCGAAAAACTAATAAAATTTCTTGTTGTCTAAGAGACTTTTATGTGTGAGGAAAAGTTTGATTAGACTTGATTAGTTTGCGCGAATAGTGCGGTTTTTGTTCATATTAGTTAACATCAGCGAGATGTACGATGTCAACAAATCATCCATTTTGTAACCCAAAGATGTTTCGCATAACAGCTTTGAGCCTCGTACCAAATTACCAATGGTCATGTGGAAGTAAGTGTTGCCGGAGGACCAATTTGAAATGCGTGTGAAAGGATGAGTTATAAGTATGTCCTGGAAATGAATACAATTTTTAGTTTTGCCAGATCATTATAAATTTATAATACTATTTACCTTAGTTACTGGATGTATTAGACTAACGCCATGCTTATTGATTGCTATTAATAACATTTCTGGATAATTGGGTTCAGTCGTTTGCTTCACTTCAAAGAATGCCGATCCAAAAGTGGGCCACCTGAAGAAAACGACGTAGAATAAATTAGTAAACAGACAAAAAAGATATTATATCTAATATGTGTACATTACCTGTAGACAATTTTAAGGAACGCCACTTTAGCATCTTCAGAACTCATACCGGAATCTTGATTATACGAGGCAACAATTGCCCGCTTCCATTCGCTAGTGCTTTGCATTTTCATTAAATCGGAGGGTATCAACTCACGCAACATTTGTCTGAAAATAAACACAGACATTAATTAAATATCTATCTTCCCTATACTCGTAACACTACTTACGGTATGGCTTGCAGTTCTTGCTTATTATCACCATAGCGTACTCTATAGACCAAGGCAGCCAATTTGGCAGCCTCTTCTCGTGAACACTTATGATAGCCCCTTAATAGCTTCGGCAACTCTTGGTGGTAATGGAATATCAAGTCTGCATTACGATCTTTACCGGGCACTGTATTGGTCCATAATTTCTTCATAAAGAACACTTGATAGGTGAATTGTGGATTACTGCCATCTCGTATGGGTCTGGCCTTCTTAATCCAATCGGTTAAGTGTCTCACAAAATCGAAGAAGAAATCTCCTTCGGGTACTGAAATGACTTTGTCCGCTATCTTTACGAAAAGTGAGAAACCTTCACTGGTTCTCAGCGATAGACGTTGCGAAATATTCTGGCAGAAATCCTTGGCCCTTGTTGATGAATCAACTTCGAAGGCTTCGTCAGTATCATCCGGGAAGTATACTTTGTGGAATATTTGTGTTGTCTTGTGTTGAATGGCCTCGACTTCAACTTGGTGCGGTGGATACTTGCGCTGGCCATTACGTATTGTTTTCTGCAGGCGGTGTAACGAATCTTGTGATATGGGATGTCTTCTAGTTCTCAGAAAGAGAGTTAGTTCTTTGAGTAAGGCCTGGGAGCAGGCAAATAGACCTGTGGCCAACCACATCAGCTCCCAACCACGCTCTTCCGAAATGCGATTTCTGTTGTCAGTCAACTGTTTCATTATTTGGCAATATATTTCATCCCTCAGAATTTCATGCTTCAATGGACCATCGAAAATGTGATCGGTGATTTCATTGCCCATTCTTGGCCTTTTCGAAGGCAGATCACCCATGTATTTAAGTATGGCGGCAAAAGCGAAGCAAGCCTCTTCGGCCAATTCCTCTTTTGCTTGCAATTTCCTTAGAAGTGGGGCCTTGATGGGATCTCTTGAATAACGCCAAATTTCCTCAGAACGTTTCGAACTTAAAGTCAATGTTTTCGATACTGTACGCTTGGGAGGTAAACGGAAGTGATCCAAAGCATATTCCATCAAAGTGTGCGGGCGGTCTCTGGGCTCGGCCACTCCATTGGACGCCATACTCAAACGCTTGCCATGATGAGCTTCTTCAACATTAAATAAGGCTAGAATATCCTGAGGTGGTTTCGTAAGCGTAGGCAGCACATACACAGTCTCTGCCGGAAAGTCTCCCCTTTCCTGGGTGCGTTCACAACGACCTATACACCAACCATTGTTGAGGACATTTTCTCCACAGCTTTCATCTTCCAGAATGATGAGGTCACCCTTGTAGAACGATAAGAAACTCGAACCGTCGGAGGGAGCCCGATAATCCTGAATGGCTATAACAAATTTCGATCTCTTCTTCAGGCCATCGAGGAAATAAACAACCAAGTCTCTTATGTCTTCGGCGTTGGGACTTTGGAATGTGAACTCTTCTCCACGCACAGTAGATAAGCTAAAGGTTTGCGTAAAAACTTTATTGGTTTTCTGACTGGAAACGGCAGTAATCTCGGGGAAACTTAATTCCAACAACACTTGCTCCTGGTCATCAACCACATAAACGCCCGTCCAGTTGACAGCAATGATAACATCGTTTTTGGGTAAATTTGGACCAGAGTTACGATATGCTTCGTAGAACCGGGAAAATAGCAAAGGCCACTTGTATTTGGCGTAGCTCACAATGTCTTCCTTGATCTTAAGTGAATGTATCTTTTCCTTGACGTAGTATGACTTCTTGTAGGCCTGCAAAACAAGAGCAGCCCAGCGTTCAATGGCCTTATCGACACCTGTTAGACAGAAGTCGGGTATAAAATTAGGCAGCAGGGTAAAAAGTCTTTCCATAGACATATCGGTGCCATATTCAATGAAATATTGCTGAGCCGCAATCATGGCCAAATCGTCCTCCTTATCGCAACGATATTCTCCGAATTTGACACCTCTCACCACCTGCTGATAAATGAGATTCGTAGCGACTTGATCGAATGTGGGATCATGCCAGGGAGCAAATATTTCCTTGCGGAAGAACAATCGCCAGGGGGCATTGCGTTCCTGGGCTCCTTGTTCTTTGGCATATTGTTCACACTGTGAAATTGCGTCCATTACATGATCTCCACCACTACCCAACGAAGACACCTTATCGAATAGAGCAATATACAGTGAGAAGCCAAATTGATCCTTCAGAGTGATTTTGTCAGACAATTGATTGCACAACTCCCGAGCCGTGGTGGCAGAATCTGCCAGAAGTGTCTTTGTATTGCCATCCATAAATGTAATGGGCAGCATTATGGGTTTCTTTGATTTTGTGGCCTGTAATTCTAGCCATGATGGAGGTTGATTGCGTGTACCATTGTTGAAGGTCCTCTTTAGGCGTTCCTCACAGTAGGGAGCATAGCCAGGAGGACCTTCACGAATGAAGGCTCTTAAGTAGTTAACGAATTTCTCAGATGGAGCAAAACAGCCTACGCACAACGATAGAAGTATCCAACCTCTGGCATGTGACGACTTCAGAGGGTTGTTCGTTAACTGTTTGCAAATTTGACAGTAGATTTCGTCTCTCAATTCGGCTCTTAAAATGCCATGGCCAATGATGAAGTGTAATTTTTCCAGATTGGAAGTGGGACGTGATTGGAGCCATGATTGGTAACTGTCTGCCGTATACTCTTCATCTTGCAGGCGGCGTCTTACATCCTCGCCGAGTTTGTTTTTACGTTTCAGTGTAAGCGAAACCAATTTGTGTCTAATTGAGCGTGGCTTTTGTTTGAGGAATGCTTCAGGATCCAAACCCATTAGTTGAGCTTCTTGGAATTCTTTGCTTCTGATAAAGTTTCTTCCCAAGGTGGCTGTAACTTTAGACATTACCGATGTCGTATCCATGCGATCCATGGTGTGATATTTTGGTTCGGGCATATCCCCGGTAAATCTTAAAATAGTTATCCACAAGGCTTGAGCTGCCAATTGATCACCTTGGGTATGTAATGGTAGAAGGGGATGTTTCAGGGCCTTCTTGGAGTATTGATGGTTGACATTGCCCTGGAAGTAGGTAGCTGCGAATTTTTGGAATTTAAATTCTGACAAATCCTCTTCATCTTCGGAGATGTGCATGGGACCAATTATATCCTGTGAAAGAGAAAGTAATACAGTTATACTAATGCTATAATTTAGAATATACTCTTCTTACCTCTTGATTGACACTATTGCCATGGGGCAAATCATTGAATACCGATGTTTCTCGCCCTGCATGTGGTGTTGGTGCCTCGCTACTGGAATCGGGTAGAAAATCAAACATGGCTTCTACCAGTTTTCCGTCATCCACCGGTTCGTCTTGTTTGCGGGCGGCATCGTTTATCAAATTCTTCTTCACTTCCACTCGGCGACGTTCTTCGATCTCTTTCTCCATTTCTCTGCGTTCGAGCTCATGTAAACGATCGCGATAATGTTGTTCTGCAATTTCGCGAGCGTGTTTGTTACCTTTGTGCATCAGCTCCTGCTCCTCCAATTTCCGTAAATGCAATACCTCTGCGAACTTCTTGTATTCCTCCTTCATTTTCTTGTACCTCCGCATAGCAATCATTCTGCGGGCATGCGACTGTATTTTAATAATGGCCCACATTTTATGTCCATATTCACGCCTCACCAAATAACCACGGGCATGAGCCTGCAGACCCACGATGTGACCTCGCAAATGACGGAATCTATGCGAAAGAACACGTGATCGTATCAAAGCTTGCAAACGCATATAGCCCACTCGCATTTGCTGATAACGTTTTCTTTGGGCATAGCCCTTCCAGTAACGCTGAATGGTAATGGCGGCAGCTCGCATTCGCAAGAAACGTCTGCGATAGACCCAACCGCGTATAGTTCTTTGCAGAATCAAAATCTTACGTGTCAACACGCGATCACGCTCCTGTTCTAAGAACAAATCATGAGCATCTTTCAGAAAAACTTTGGTATGGCCCAGTTGATAGTCCGATTTGCCAAGGACTGCGGCACATATACGCGATGTAGCCAAACGACAATCAGTGCGATGTGCTGGTGGTACTCCTGGAATAAGGAACCTGTAACGTTCCACAAAATCTCTAAAGCCATGTCGTATGGGATAACCAGCCCGGCGAATGCGAATTGTTTCCATCATACCCGAATAACGTAACTGTCGACAACACAGGCCACGATCGAATAACATTGGTCGCTTCACTTCATTCGGTTTGATGCAACGTATGAAGAATGGCTGACACGAGCTTAGAGTTTTCATCAAAGCATCCAAACTCTTTTTGAACTGAGTGGATAGAGTGGGTGTCCTCTTACGAGTCTCTGCACCCATTTCTATGTCTTGAGCAAAAATTTGTCTCAGGAACTTATTGCTACTTTGACTTACGAGATGCAATAAATCAGGACTGAAAGTGTCGCGGTTCTTTTCCAGGAAACCACTGGTATCATAAAATACAACACCGGCAAAGTGATTCAGACCGAAGCTGGTGTTAATGTCCGATTTGGGTTTCAAATAGTTCTTGTGGGTGCCGTGGGTTTTGTGCAATTTGGCCAACATTGTGTGATCTGTGCCCTTGGGAAAGCGGGCCTCCTCATCGATTAAAGCCATAATGTTGAGCTGTTTAATAGCAATCAAATCTAAGGCATCCTGATTATCCACAAACTCTATGTGTTGCCAATTGATACCCTCGTGATTGTATTCCTCCTGTTCCAATTTGAAGATGTGTTGCACAAAGAACTGTTGCAAGTTTTCGTTGGCGTAATTTATACAGAATTGTTCGAAGCTGTTCTGGTCGAAATTCTCGAAACCGAAAATATCCAAAACACCAATAGCATTGCGAGATGTGGCCCTTGGCTTATAAATGGCAGCATTAATTTTGCGTACAATGTGTACGAAGAGGCGTCCGTATATGCCCTTCACGAAGGCATCGCGTACATCAACTGACTGTTCGCGGGACAATGTTGAGACCACAGTTTCACCATGAGCAAAGAGGGTACGGCGCGTGAGAGCATCGATGAGAGGTTGTAAAGGTAGTCCCAATAGGGCTGCCACTCTTTCTACATTTATGTATTCTGGAATTTCGGTGGCATCCAAATTATCAACAACTGTGGCTTTGTATTTAATGTTGCCGCAGTGCAATAGAGCAGCGAGCAATTTGATGATTTCCCAAATTTCTTGATCGGTAAAAAGTAAGACTTTCATGGCAGAACGTATGTCGGAGAACTCGGCAGTATCATCCCGTCCCTCACATGTGATGCAATCCCCTCCGGTAAGATATCTGAAAATGGAGAAAGAAATTAGAAAGGGCCGCTGTGGTTGTGGGGAATTTACTTACTTATAATCTGATGCATTTCCAAGTTCCAGACGTCGTTTCTCCTCCATAGAAAGGCCAGCCAAAATGCAATAGAATATGTGATAATTTCGTTCACTGGGATTTTGTGAAACAATGCGGGATTTCTCCAGCAGATACTGTTCAATTTTGGCACCCTCAATAACGCCATTGGCACTGAAGTGTATGTCAATGTATTTGCCAAATCTGAAAGGGATCGATTAATTTTGTGTTAGCTAGCTATGTGTGTCGATGTGAGGATATGATATGATGGATAACCTACCTTGAAGAATTGTCATTTCTTACGGTCTTTGCATTACCAAATGCCTCCAAAATGGGATTAGCCTCCAAAATTTGTTGTTCTATCCAGGAATGTTTACCGCTGATGGCAGCCAAATATTGTAAAATAAGTTTTGTGCTTTCCGTCTTACCCGCACCTGATTCGCCCGATATGACAATGCATTGATCCTGGCGATAGCGTTTCATGTGGGCATAGGCATTGTCGCCTATGGCAAAAATATGTGGTGGTAATTCACCAATTTTACGTTCTTTGTAGAGTTTTATTTGATCGGCCGTGTAGATGGGTAGAATTTGATAGGGATTAACTGCCACCAAAATGGATCCAGTATAGGTCTAAATTACAAGATGTGAATGTGGCTAAAACATTCATTATTGCTTTAACAGTGTCGGGTTACTTACGTAAATTAAGTTTTCTTTGTATCTGATCAGTAGATTCCGTAATATGCCAGCCTCATGTAGATCACCCAATGAGATCATGTCCTCCACACCCTGTACGGAGGAGGCATGCATGGCTTTGATACGTCTTTCAGGCGATAGCCATATTTCGTCGCCGTCATCGTCGCGCACTTGTATGCGTCTACCCTCTGCAGAAATGACACGAGCACCAATGGCTACATCGAATTCTCTACCCGATGCGGGCTCTATCCAGATGTAGTCACCCTAAAATGTAACAATAATTTACAATTTATTTATTTTACAATGGTTCATTTACATTCAGGTATTTAATTGAATGTTAATATTGGCAATGAAATATATGCTTCAGTGGTTGTCATGACCTTACAAAAAACGAAGTTCGTTGACTTTAAAGTCTTGTAGATATAAATTTCAAATCGTTATGATTTAATTTCAGAAGTAAGACCTTTGCTTAAAGTTCATGTCTTATTAATTTTGCTATATTGCTTCTTGATTTGCATCCTTGGATAGCTGTTATTAGGGACAATAATTTGTTTCACTCTTATGTTAGCAAAGAGGCCGATATTTGTATAAACCTGATTTCTATCTGTTCAGTATAAAAATAAAACTATTTGATAATGACTCATTTTTGTGGCGAAGTTGTGTTTGGGGAGTTTTCCAAAATACAGATTAAAGTCAATTTTGTTTCCATTTTTATACCCTTCACCACACTGTGGTACAGGGTATTATGTCTTTGTGCATATGTTTGTAACAGGCAAAAATAATCGAGATAGACCCATGGTTCCTTTTGAGAATATGCATAGAATCACTTTCTGAGTCGATTTACGCATGTCCGTCTGTCCGTCCGTCCGTCCGTCCGTCTGTCCATGTTAAATTGTAAACAAAGTACAGGTCGCATTTATGATCCGAATTGGATGAAATTTGGCATAGGTCACTTATTTGGCCCAAGGACGAACCCTATTGAAATTGGGAAAAATCGGTTCAGATTTAGATATAGCTCCCATATATATATTTAACCGATTTAATGTAAACAGTCCCTATATAACTTTCGATTTGCACGAAATTTAGTACAGCCTAATCATTTAGGTCTAGAATGATGTCTGCCAAGTTTCGTGAAAATCGGTCCAGATTTAGATATAGCTCCCATATATAGTTTCGTCCGATTTCATGTAAATGGTGCCCCAAAGTCCCTATATATCTTTTGATTTGCACGAAATTTGGCATAACGTACTGAATTAAGCCTAGAGTGATGTCTGCCAAGTTTCGTGAAAATCGGTCAAGATTTAGATATAGCTCCCATATATAGTTTCGTCCGATTTCATGTAAATGGTGCCCCAAAGTCTCTATATATCTTTCGATTTGCACGAAATTTGGCATAACGTACTGAATTGAGTCTAGAATGGTGTCTGCCCAGTTTCAAGAAAATCGGTCCAGATTTAGATATAGCTCCCATATATAGTTTCGTCCGATTTCATGTAAATGGTGCCCCAAAGTCCCTATATATCCATCGATTTGCACGAAGTTTGGCATAACGTACTTAATTGGGCCTAGAATGATGTCTGCCAAGTTTCATGAAAATCGGTCCCGATTTAGATATAGCTCACATATATAGTTTCGTCCGATTTAATGTAAATGGGGCCCCAAAGTCCCTATATATCTTTCGATTAGCACGAAATTTGGTACAGCCTAATCATTTAGGTCTAGAATGATGTCTGCCAAGCTCCGTGAAAATCGGTCAAGATTTGGATATAGCTACCATATATAGTTTCGTCCGATTTCATGTAAATTGTGACCAAAATCCATATATATCTTTCGATTTGCACGAAATTTGGCATAACGTACTGAATTGAGCCTAGAGTTATGTCTGCCAAGTTTCGTGAAAATCAGTCCAGATTTAGATATAGCTCCCATATATAGTTTCGTCCGATTTCATGTAAATTGTGCACCAACATCCATATATATCTTTCGATTTGCCCGAAATTTTGCACAACGTACTGAATTGAGCCTAGAGTGATGTCTGCCAAGTTTCGATAAAATCGGTCCATATTTCTATATAGCTCCCACATATAGTTTCGTCCGATTTCATGTAAATGGTTCACCAAAGTCGCTATATATCTTTCGATTTGCACGAAATTTGGCATAACGTACTGAATTGAGCCTAGAGTGATGTCTGCCTTGTTTCGTGAAAATCGGTCCAGATTTAGATATAGCTCCATTTTATTATAGATTGATTTTATGTAATTGACGCACCAAGGAACCAATAGGAACAAAACGTTCTAAAGTTAGTATAACCTAACCTGTGACAAGTTTGTTTGAAATCGCTTAATATGTGGATATAGCTTACATATATTTTTTCGCCCGATATCAAGCAAATTGGGCATCATACTCCTCATCTTAGTCAGATTGACATCAAATTTTGCACAACGTACAAAATTGAGCATAGAATTACGTAGTTGCGTTTTCTAGAAGTACAGACATAGCCAACCGGATGACCTATTTATATTTGTTTGAAGTCGATTTACACACTTTATGGACAAATCTAGGTAGATTCACATTTAGATAAATATCACATATTTTATTTCATCCAATTTCATGTTAATAGTCCTGTTTAATGTACCCATAGTGGTGAAGGGTATCCTAGAGTCGGCCCCGTCCGACTTTACTACTTTCCTTACTGGTTAATTATATAACATTAATTTATATAAAAGTACATATATGTACGTACACATGCCTGTGTGTATGTACAATTTTCATTGAGCAGACATTCTTTAAACTAAAAATAAAACACAACAAAAACATTGACCCAAATATTTTTTCAAGTGTAACGCACCAGACAGTTCGTTTCATTTTGGTTTGGCTTGTTTTTTGAGCTGCTCATGGATGAGTAGTTTGATGGAGTTAATATTGGTGTTGGTTTCATTAATTACTTGTAGTGGTTAAAATGAAAATTTATTGTTTTCATGGCAAATTTTCTGTGTGCAGTTGATTTCCTAAACAACACTTATTTGTGCGCATGTGTGTGTGTGTGTTTTTAATTCTGAGGTGAAGTTCATTTATAATTGCCACTGAGAATAAATTACACAAATAAACTGATTTTGGTGTAATATTCAATAGAATATTATATTTAAATAAGAAATTGGAATTGTTTTTGTAATGTCGGTTCATTGTGGGTCTGGCGACTGATACACAACTGGGCATATTATGGATACAGGACTTATAGTAAATGAACATTTAAATTTAATTTGACTAAGAGATTTGTTCCAAAATAGGTACAACCTAACGTATTTTCTAAATTTTAATAAAGTTTGGTAGCTCCTCACCAATTTCTTTGATTACTTCTAAAATACTTAAAATATTAATAATGGGCAAAAATGTTTTATATATGTTTGTACATTTGCTACGCCAAAGCACAGCCTTCTTGAGGTAAAATGTTGTATTTTAATCTCTTTAATGCCCCCAAATTGATAGAAATTAATTTCCTCAGTCGAAATCCCCTATATGGTTTTATATTCGTTATAACGTATATAAAATAAAGGACAAACCATTATCGGGACTTTTGAATACCGACGTTATTGCCGATATGTCGTTAAAAAATGTGCCGGTAGGAAATATTTTCACTGATTTTTTTCTGTGTATGATTTTTTTCATTTTTTTAATAGCGATGATTTATAACTTAACTGAAAAAAGAACAAGATTTGCCTGAGAAACACCACTATGGATAAAATCTCTTCTTCAAATCTCAGCCAACATTGTTTGCAGTATATATGAGTGTATGTCCATGATAAAATGTTTTAAATAACAACTCTAAACGTTTATTTTCCCTCCTACCATTTTTCCTACTGTCAGAAGTAAATAAGACATGATATATTTATATATTAGTCGACTTCTTCAAGTAATTTCCCACCTTAAACAAGAGGAAGACGAAGAAACAGGAAACCCCAAGAAATTTATGAGTTGTAACCTACAATAGAGCATACAATGAACGGAAAGATGCATATTTTATGATGAAATACATAAACGTTCTATCTGGTGGCAGCAGCTACCACAATTAAATTCTCACGTCGTCTTGTATCCGTCCTTCTGTCTGTCTGCCTGCCTGCCACTTGTGCAACAAATAAAATGTAGAAGCCAAAACATGATAGATATATACTTACGCGTGTTACAATCACCATTTTTATTGCCCTTCATTGACCATTAATTTGCGTCGTGTAGAAAATATCAAATCTGAAATGAAAAAAACAACAAAATTAAAGATTTTTTATTTGAGTGTAAAAATGAGGAAAATTTTTCATTATTTAAAAAAAAAACAAAGAATAGACTCATGAAACTGGAATCTCTAGATTAATGTCCACACAACTTCCCCAACATATGCCACACCAGGCAGTGTAATGTGGCTTAAATCCAAAACAAGTCTCACATATGACGAAAGCACCCATAACGACCAACATCTAAACTACAACAACAACAGAATAAGGTGAAGTTGAAGTTTACGGTAAATTAACGAGTAAACGCTTAAATGAACACGATGGCAATAACAACACAAATACACTCACATCTATCTGCATATTCTGCAGACCAACTTTAATGTCTACAATGCGGCAAAATTAACATTGAGAGTGAGAGAGTTATGTGAACCCTACGGCCAAATATTTACTGAGCAGATTTGTGTTGAGAATACCAACTGCCATCCAATATCAGCATGTACAGATGTTAGTTAGACATGTTTTTTGGATACTTTATGGCACAGTGGAAAAAAATACAACATTTTAAAGCACTTATTATCACATGGAGTCACAAATATCGCTAATATATTTAAAGGTTAGTAATTCCATTAAAACATTCAATTTTTTATATGTAATCAGTATTTTGTTCTTTTCAGGATCCAAAGTTTTATATTGAAAATTGGTGGAAAAATCCCAATAAGGAAACTATTCAGACAATTTAAATTGATAAAAAACCATATATTTGGACCTAGGTTCCAAGAGCAACACAAAATATGAGATTAAACAACGATTAACGACTCTGATCTTGATGAGTATTACGAAACATAGGGGAAGTGTTTGGTGGAAGAATGCTATTAACGATAATGCTAATTCAGAAGAACACGAATATAAGAATATTTTATATAAGAAAATGTTTCGCCCATATAAGAAAACAGTTTATTATATAAAATACGTTCAGATAATAACAAATTTCTCGATTTCTCGAATGTTATTATATCTCTGTTCTACTGTAAGAGGTTTTAGGGATCACACTAGATTTGAGCTTTAGACTCCGCTATTGAAGCAACATTTTACATGAAAAATTAATAATATTATAATGTTGAAATATATATATAGTCCTTAGTAGTATTTTCACTCCGAAGATATTTTATTTAATTTTTTTTTATAGTTCGGTTTAAATGTATTTTATGAGCATATGATGAATACAAATACCACTGTCCACGATTTTCTAACTGGTAAGAATGTAAGAAATAGGTTTTTGTTTTTGTGGTACATTGTGTTTCGTCAACGTCTCTTTATGGTGGGGTATTGGCACGCGTATTTCTGTTCCTCTGTAGGCCATCTATATAGTCAGCTTCCACGATCATCATTACTGCCATTTACTTTTTGTTATGTGCTAACACCTTGGTATCCGTTCATGAAGGCAGCAAATGACTACATTATTTGGGGTGTTAACTAAAGTATAGTGTAATTAGGAAACATGTAATATAATCCATCTGCCTGTTTTACATTGAAGATTTCTACAGCAATTTTATGTTGGACAATTACAATAGAATAAGACATTGAAATTGATATCACTACTTGGCATTAGATGTCTGTTCTAATGAGATCTTTTGATGTTGGCCATGTCCATAGTAGTTACATAATTGGAAAAGGAAATGTTTTTTACAAAATTATACAACGTTTTACTGAATTGAAAGCATATAAAGTTACTGCGAGTGCTTTTTATACGCATTCGAAGAACAAAATCTTCTTTGGGAAATTTACATTAATCTACTAAATTACAGAATTCGGCTTCTGGTTTTCCACCTTCTAAATGTTGGTTCTTGCATTCATTTCGAATTCATTGTTTTTCATAATTCATCATATTTACAAAATGTGTGTGTGAATATGTAAATTTTAAAGAATGCTTTGGTGTTGACTTCGCCTAAAGTCCAAAAAAAAAACGAAGTTGAAAAAAGAGACTAGAAGAGCAGTTATATCAAATTGTTGCTAAATATTTCTGAACAATGAATACTTCTTCTGGCATAAACCCCTTACCATTTCAACTACTGGTCAAAACAAAAGCAAAAAATACCAACTCCATAATAACACAATGCCAACAAACGGCAACAATAACAACAATCAACCAGTTTCCACATCCGGTTTTACCGGCAAAACAAACTAACATTTTTGAATAAAAAAAGAGCCACTCTACACTCTTTTTTTAATGATTAACCAAGCAACAGCGACAGAAAAAAAGTTTCTCGATTGTGGTGGCACACCAGAGAAATGTATGGAATACATTGACGCGTCGTCGATCGTTTACTAAGTAAGCGAGCTGTATGTACGTGGTGGATTGAAGTGAAATGTTGTCCCACAGCAATGGCAATGGGTATTTTGTCTGAGACCTGATACTCGTACTGCTAACCAGCTAGTTAAACAGCATATGTGCCGTCCATTCATCCACGAACCATCCATCCATATGTATGCAGCATGTTGCAACATCATTACATGGTCTGGCTTTTAGAGTGGTTGGTGGTGTTATGCATAAACAACGGTATGTCTTGTCCAGCCATATCTACATGTACAGCATAACCGATTGATACTTGCTACACTGTACAAAAATGGGCGAACGTGTTGCTGAGAGACTTATATATGATATTAGTCATATGAAGCCGGGTCTAAAAAGTTTTAAATAAAATTATTTGAGGAACATAAACGCAATCGGTAATTGAAGACATAAATTCAAGTATATATCCCATCTATCATTTAAATAGAAATGATCCGTCCTTTATTGAAGTCTCATATAAGTTTTATTTTATTTTAAATTACATTCCCGCATAAAGAGAATTTAAAGTTTAACCTTATGTGGGGATTATCATTTTCATCAACCAAATGAATATAAATGATCAGATCTTTTATTAATATTTTCCACAAACGATTAATACACACTTGTCGAAATTTTTCTCAGTGCACTTATAAAGAAATAGATATGTGTTGAGGTTGCCCAACAACTTTTGTCACCAACGATGACCGTTCAACCACTGGAGACACATGAACCAATGTTATGTTGCAGAATTGCTCAATGACAGCTTATAGAATTTGGTTCTTGTTAGCACTGCTTGCCATTGGCCACATACTCTCATCATACTCTACATTTGCCATTTAAACAAGTTTTTTTGTCGTCTTCTTGGTTGTTGTTTTTCCCTGTCACCTGGTTGACACTTTATGCAGTTTTTATAGTTGATTTTCTGCGTTAGAGGCTTACGGAAGGATGGTCGGTGAAAGGAGTTATAAACTGAATGTGCCTTAGAGTCTATTGCCATAATTGGGTTACTTAAGCATAACCACCAGCCAAGCATACATAAGGCGTATGTTTTAAAGCCCCCACTTCTTTGACTGGCCAATGTTTAGTTATTGCTACAGTTTTACTTCAAACGACAATTTTCTAACCGCATCTAAGCAGGAGTGTTGGCGAGGGACAGGTGTAGAAAAAATCTCCTAATTAGGTCAACTAAGTTGACCACTCTGTTTTTTGCCAGAGTATGTTTTTCTCCCTTTCAGATTTATTCTAAGTGTGTGTGTGTTGGCGGGTATTGATGTGGACAAAATGCATACTGCATCTGGGTTAGAAATACATTGTATATTTTTAATAGATTTTTTTTGATTTATTAATAAAAATGACCTCATTCGCCAGTGACCCACTGACGGCGATATTTCCATCGATATTTTAATACTGGGGTCATATGCAACAAAATATTAAGAGAAAACATTGTAGGTGATGTTTTTTAAACTCTCATTTTTATTTTGCATAAAAAACCATTTGCGGAGGACGTGGATGAATGTTTATACACTTCGGCTATGGTGACAATCAGTAAGCGTAGAGAAAAAATAGAAATAGCCACCCCGTAGTTTACCTTTCTAATTGTATTGCATTCTGTACAAATTTATTAATAATTAACCCAAAAATGTTTGTTATGCACACGTACGAGTTAACAGGCGTGATAAAATGCATGAATCCACATATTGGCCAATATTAACAAATATGCCCACGTAATGTGACACAGAAAGTAGAAATTCTTTACAAATTGTATTTATTTAGATCTCTTAGTTCCGGTTTTATGAAAATATATATTATTTTATCGGCAGATTGCTGTACTGATAGATTTCTCATAAAGTATCGATCAAACAATTTCAATGCAAGCCAAGCGGCTAAAATTATGAATGGTGTTTATGGTTCCGATACTGTAACAGCCAATTATGTGCAATTTTGGTTTCGTAGATTCCGTTGATTTTTGATGTTAAAGATGCACCTCGCATAGGTAGGCCGGTCGTTGAACATGTCGATAAAATCGGAGAATTGATGGGAGAAACTTCGGGAGCTTGGTCCGGACTTGACACCAAGCGATTGTCATCTTTTTCTTGCATTTTTTAATGATAAAAACTTGGTATCTAGGGAGGAATGTGACAATCGACTACTAGAGTTTTTGCAAATAGAGGGCAAGACAACAAAACGGTGCATATTTGGCCCAAATCGGACATTCCGAAGCCTGATAAAAAAGTTCTATAGTTCATATAAAAATATTGGTTTTATTTTTCCCCAACCTGATATTTTAAAAATGGATGCCATAATTAGGGGCCTTATTCTACCATTAGTTATAATTATTAACGATGAGAGTATTTAACTTCGAACTCAAAGATATTTTTGTGATATGTTATATTTAGATTGAATATTACAATTATTGGTTTATTGCAGAACCAGCAAGAATGTAAAATTCTTTATTACCAAGGCAATAGTAAAAATCAGTAGATTATTGCAGTACGGGAATAGACCATTTATTATTCTCACATTCCATAATTAAAATATTTAACAAATTTTATGCATCTTCAGACTTCTTGCCATTTGACATTCACTTCCTGAAATAATTTATCTATCATCATCATTCAATTACGAAAAAATGATGCAAATGTTGTTTATAGATCATCTAGCCAGTAAATCCTCAGTTTTTAAAAAATGCA